CGGAGTTTTAGGTTTTTTGAAATATTTAAATGACCTCTCGCCTTTCATTCTAAAGTCAAATTAAACGAAAAAAACAATCACCTTTTCCTTTTTGTCTGCGTATCCATTTTAAAAGCGTTCTTCCAAAATTCATCCAAAAACTTGCTAGTTTCTTTCACTTTGACTCTTTAAGCTCAAGTAGGGTAACTGTTCACAAAGGATGCGCATTTGCGAAGAGGGCGCCACCGAATTTTGAGGACACTTTTTTAATTGGCTCAAAGAGAGGAGTGGCCCCTCTCGTTAATTAGACTCTTACGGCTTCTTCACGGATGGACAGCATGTCTACCCGGTGAAGCATCCTGGTGCGTTTACAGGGTAGCCATAGCAAATCCTGGTGCGTTTACAGGGTAGCCATAGCAAAAGGAGAAACTGATCCAGGCCCTCATCGCAAAATGGTGAGGACCAGACTAGTCTTCTGCATAGTCATTTAAAGCCAGTATATGACAGACTGTCCTTCTACTTCACTGCCTGGGTCAAAAAGCAAATGAAAGTCTTTATAGCGTCAACTTTAGTGAAATGAAAATCAGACAAAATATGCCTAGTATTGAAATCAATATGAAAGTATGAGTACCAACTGTTGGATGGTTTACGAATGAGAAATGTTCCATGGAAATGTACTGAAAATCCTAGGTGACAGCTGTGGGGTTCTAGGGGAGGACGAGGAGGACTCTTCCTCCACCCCCTCTTCTCCCCCTCACCCCTCTTCTATCCCTTTTTCTTCTTCTCTTTCTTCTTCCACCTGACAGCCCATCCCTCTGATGGAGTGTGAGGTGTGCCTTCTCCCCTCCCCCAGCCCCCCCCCCTTCCCAGCCCCTTTGGTCTGTTCCACCTCCCCCTACCCCTCCAGCAGACAAGCCCCTGCCTATGGAGGAAGACAGCTCCGACTCCCCTCCACGGCCTAACCCCGGGAAGGGTGAAGTCTGTCACTCCTCCAAATCCCCCACTAGACTGCCGTCCAATCCAGGACGGCAACATAGAAACCATTCTACCTCCCCCGCAAGGAGGAGTTTCTTCGAAGCCGGGGCCTTTGAGCTAGAAAATAAAAACTAAAAAATCATAATGGCTGTCTTGCAATGGAATTGCAAAATTTACAGGCCACACTGTGCCCACGGGTGGCCTGTATTCAAGAAACAAAATTCGCCCCGGTTCACCATAGACTTAAGAGGATTTACTGCGTACCATCACATTCACACGGAGAACCTGATTGCTTCCAGTGGTACCACCATCTACACCGACAACAACACACTCCACAGACAAGTACATCTTAAGACGACCCTCCAGGCTATTGACGTACGGGTCACCCTGCACAGACCAATCACGATCTGCTCAGTTGTCCCACCCAATTACCCCCTCAAAATAACCCAACTAAATGACTTGAAGGCTCAGCTTCCAAAACCCTTTATTTTGCTAGGTGATTTCAATGCCCACAGCCCCCTTTGGGGAGACAAACCTACAGACCAGAAAGGAAAAATAATAGAAACATTTTTATTTCAAAATAGCATCTGTCTCTTAAATGATAAATCCCCAACTTACAGAATGAATGATTTATTTATAGAGGCACCAGCCATCCATGTCCAGGTGCTGTTTTAGCCATCCAACTTACAGAAACAGAGCCATTTATGGCACTTCGTCCCTTGACCTCACCTTTTGTACCAGATCTTGAGTGGTCTGTGCTGGATGACCGTACAGACCATTTCCCAATTCTTCTCCAAAACAATAGACTCCAAAACGACCCGATCCCAGAACGCTTCAACTTTTAAAAAAAGCAGACTGGGACGGGTTTGCCAATCAATGTTTCCAGATTCTTAATCCCAATTTCGACCTCAACTACAATAAATTCCACGAAAAGCTTTTAGAAATATGCCACAAATTTTGTACCAAAAACAAAAAACAAAACCCCGGAGGAACAAGATCTGGTTCTCTTGGGAGTGTGAAGATGCAGTAAAGAAAAAGAATGCAGCGTATCGAAAGGCCGTCAACAACACCACCATAGAAAACAAGATCAATTATTTAAAGGCTCAAGCTGTGGCACGTTAATGCCTCTGCGAGAGCAAAAGACAATCATTCCAAAAATACATCTCCAAAATCAACAGCCAGACAACACTCAACCAAGTTTTCAAAATTGCTAAAAAATTCTTAGGTAGACGAACAGACACCATTCGGCACGTCCAGAGGCTGGATGGAGTCACAGCTGAAACACAAGTAGACATCACAAACACAATAGCTACATCTCTCGCCAAAAACTCATCCCAAGCAAACTACAACACCACTTTTCAAAACATCAAAACTAACAGAGAAAAACAACACCTAAACTTCCACTCAAACAGCACTGAAAGCTACAACGCAGACTTCACAATAGGCGAACTAACATCGTGCATTTCGGACCTTGGCAATACAGCCCCGGGACTGGATGACATCCACAACCAGATCATTAGACACTTACCCTCAGAAACACTTACACTCCTACTAAACATATACAACGACATGTGGCGGTTGCACTCCTTTCCGGAGTCTTGGCGTCTCGCCACTGTCATTCCAATACCCAAACCAAACAAGGACTACACACACCCATCCAATTACAGACCACTGACGAGCTGTCTCTGCAAACTGATTGAAAAAATGATTCACAGGCGACTCATGTGGTTTCTGGAAACGACGGGCTCGCTGAGCGGTCTTCAGTGCAGATTCAGGAAAACTCGATCCACTCTGGATCACCTGGTCCGCCTGGAGACCTTTATACGCGAGACGTTCGCTGAAAGAGGTCACATGATCGCCATCTTTTTTTTTTACCTAGAAAAAGCCTTCGACACAACCTGGAAGTACGGCATTCTTCGAGACCTGCACGCACTCGGCGTACGCGGTCACCTCCCTGCCTTCATTGGCAACTTCCTGAAGAACCGTTCCTTCCAGGTTCGTGTCGGATCCTCCCTTTCAGACCCCCACCAACAGGAGGAAGGAGTCCCCCAGGGGAGCATCCTTTCTCCTCTCCTATTCGAAATTAAAATAAATTCCATAGTAAAAACCCTCCAAAACAGCATAGACAGCTCGTTATACGTTGACGACTTTTTGATATGCTGCCGTTCGAAAAATCCTCATTTAAGATCTATGGAAACGTGCTAGACCCAATACAAAACCAAGGACTCCGCCTCGCTCTGGGGGCTTTCCGCACTTCTGCGGTGGAGAGCCCCCATGCCGAGGCTGTTGGCCACCACTCTCACTCAGACGCACACAACTCTCACTACAATACGCAGTTAAACAGAGCCCAGCACCGGAAAATCCAGCGCACAACTGCATTTTTAAAACAAACCCAGAAACCAGAAACAAATTCCAAAACAACGAAAAACTCATCAAACCCTTCGGCCTCAGAATCCTTGTGGACCTCAAAAACTTACACTTTTCCAAACAAGACATCCAACAAATTCTTTTCCCCGACCTGACAGCTGACTACACACAACAAAGAAAGCACAACCACCAAAACTTTTAAATCAGAATACAAAAACTAATACATAAATACCCCGGTGCGGAGCTCATCTTCACAGATGGCTCCAAAAAGACAATGAAGTGGGCGCCGCAGCCCTATCTTCCAATAATCCACACCAGAGGAGACTCCATCCTGAAGCATCCATTTTCTCTGCGGAGGCCACTGCCATTAACAAATCTTTCCTTATCCTTTCTTACTCTCTGTCTTGCATCAGCTCTCTCACAAACTACACACTCCTACATCCAAAAATAGTTAGGCTACAACAGAAAATTCATACACTATCCGAAACAGGAAAAAACATCATGTTCGCATAGATACCTAGCCATGTGGGCATTAGAGGAAACGAGCAGGTAGGCGACCTGGCGAAGAAAGCTTCATCCCTTCTGCTGGGATCAACGAAAAACACTCTCCCACAGACTGACTTTATAAATAAAGTCAAAAGTACACCTCCAGTAGAGAACTAGAACAGCGAAATCCTTCGGACCTCTCCAGAAGAGACGAAGTCATTTTTACTCGATTGTGCATCGGACACACGGCCCTGACCCACAAATACCTCCTACAAGGAGATGAGAAGCTGTTCTGTATCGGATGCGACAAAGATTTTACCGTTAGACACATCTTAACCGAATGTGTAGACTTTGGAGAGATCCGAAGGAAATGTTATAAATGCAAGAAATTGCAAGACATTTTTTCCGTCGTTTGTTCCCAGCAGAATATTGAATTTTATGAAGGCCATTGGCCTTTATGGCAAATTGTAAAGTGAAATCGTACTATTCAAAATTTGTATTGTTAATTATAAGAGTTGCTTTAAATTGAAAATATATTTACACCGAATTTTAATATTTTAGCATTTTTAAGTCAAATAGTTAACCAATTGTGTAGTGAACTTTTGCGAAAGTAAACAACTTGTGTTTCGCGCGCTCATATGACCTTACGCAGTTGCGAGCGCCGTAAAACCCTAAACTACTACTACTACAACCGAATAGCAAGAACGCATTGTGAATAGAGACAAATTAAAACAACTCACGAAAATACTCATCTACACATGGTGTTATTTTTTTCGCGTTATTTATGCCGGTCAGGATACTTACTCACAGAGGATGAAAAAGAAACAACAAAACTTTACAACTTTTTCCTCCCACAAAATTTTTTCATTTGGAATAGATCTAGATATAATTCATTCAAAGGGAATTTCTTTGACATAATATTCGTGGAGGATACTTATTTCGAAAACGGAAATGGCTTGTTATAAAAGCCACCCATAAACACAAAATGAACCAATTTAAACGATCTTGTGAGAAATGTCATTGGTTTGGTTAGCAGTTTTTTGTTCTGCGTTTTCTTTTTTTAAAACTTTTTTTCCATCCCGGGATGGCCACACTCAAGGACCCATCAAACCATAAGTGCTCAAATTCACACACACTGTACGCCTTGTATGGAGTTCTTTTTGGAACTTTTTCATGGAACATTTCTCATTCGTAAACCATCCAACAGTCATGATGCATATGGAGTATTTTGTGTTAACATATATATATCCGGAAAAGTGAAAAGGAACTAAATGTCATTGAAGAAACGGGAGAAATGCCAGTTTGTCTCAGGCCCAGTTAGTCACAGGCCTATAATGCTACGTTGAGCATTGATTTGAACTCGACTCAGGTGTTCGGGTAAGACATGTTTATTTTCGTGACCGGATAAGGAAGAAGCGCCAAACAGCTTTTTCGGGGGCATATTTTATACAAGTTGACTGCCAACCCGATGTGCCTATTAGTACACTCTACCTTCCCCTTTCTTTTATATAAAAGGTGATATGAACAGATTTGAAATTTTGAAACTTTATCAGTTCATCAATAAGTCAAACATTCAAATTTCCGTGCATACCTGATTGTTTTTTAACAGCAAAAGAGACCTTTCACTCAATTCAACCTATAATAATTCAAACTTCTGTGCTCCTGAATGTCAATTCTCTTGTTTGAAAACAATGTTTATAATGTTTCTGTTAATTCCTTTAGTTCGTTTTCCACAGTAAACTAGTCAACAAAAATTAAGGAACATTTGGGAAAAAGTGTATAACTTCGAAAGCAAACACGCAATAAAATTTGGGTCACATTTTAATCAATGTGTGTATAACAAATAAAAAGTTATTCAATGTGTATACAACAAATAAATAGTTATTCCATTTTAACTTGCCTGAAAAATTCATTGAGTTGTGTATCACAAAATTGTCAAGTGATTTCGAAGTTATTTTAACAAAACAAAACTGTTCAGATGATTTCAATAGTGAGTATGCCCACCACGATTGTCCAGGCACTCAGTACACCGGCTCCTCATCGAGTTCATGAGGTTGGTGAATACTCTCTGAGGCATTCCCTGCCACTTTGCCTGCAGCATCTGAAACAGTTGCTGCGCGTCTCCTGGAGGGGGGTGGTTGTCTCTGACTCAACGTTGCACGATCACTGGATAGCACTGAAACAAGTGTTGAGGTATCTGAAGGGAACTGCACACTATGAGATGTGCTTCAGAAAGAGTAAAAAAGGCCTGAGGCTCATACAGAGCTATCCGGTGACACTGGAGGGGGTCCGACAAGAATTGAGAAAGTCAGGTAGCAACCCAGGAAATATCAGGTCGAGTACACAACATCAGGTAAATTAGACTTCCAACAATCTCTCGATACCTATGGAAATCAACAGGTTCACTTTCATTCCATTCTAGGTTCTTGTTCACAAGTCAGACATCTCAAATCTTTCAAGCAACCTCTCAGTGTACACATTTTGGTTCATCTTTACAAAGTCAGGTCCTTGGCATTAGCCCAGAAAGTATGTCAGTTTTCCCATCTTAAAAATAAAGATGTACTCTTTGAACAACTTCTTTTTTGCACATTGTTTGAACCAACAATCAAATCATCCACCCATACAAGGATCATAACCATACCTGTCTGGTATAAACACAATCTTCAGAAGGAGACTCTACAAAGTCATTCTGTTCTAAAAACT